CTGTTGACTTTGTCTTTCGAATAGATTTTTTTGTGCCAGAGCGTAGTTACCGAGATTAACAGCTATTCAATCGTACAAGTGCCAAAATCAAATAGCGCAAAAAATTGTTGAGATTTTTTAGAACCGGATCTGCTGACATTTGACATATACTACAATATTCTACATAAAACTTTGTATTTTTCGACATGACTTTCAAAGTGTTAGAACAAATATTTGGAAGAAAAAATTTGGAATAGAAAATGTCAAATTATCGAAAAGTTGGTTATGGACAAATCTGTGCTATTGTTTTCAATTGATTCAAAGTAACGTAAATATTTCAATTGTTTAAGTGAACTAATGCACCATTTAGTTCAAAATCTAATTGTGCATCTAACGGTACGAAAATCGACATTTTGTAGGACGTATCTGACTTGTGATTTAATAATTTTTCATAATGCACTCAAAAAATATCTTTAGATGTTAGTTCGCAACTTGTTTTCTCCTGAACAAAAAATTCAGAATCATGCTAAAGTTGTGAGCATATAGAGCTAAAAATTTTCTATCTTTTGATGTACAATCCTTAGCTGTTAACATCGGTCTTGATGAACATACGCTCACACAAATAGTTTTTTATCCGTAGAAAAATAAGAATTTTCAATTTGACAATTCGATAGATTTTAATCTTATAAAGTTTATATCTGCATGAAAAATCGCTCCAAAAAACAAATCGACAGTTTTGCAGAGGATTAAATTCTCTATTCAGCAAGATCAGAACAAAAAATTTGAACAAATGCTAAAGTCTTCAAAGATGGAAAATAAATATACGACATGTGTTATAGGATACTGATCATTTTTTTTTAAAATTTCCTCCATACACTAACAAATTCCGTAAGATTTCCTCGAACAGTCGCTCACGCACGCGGGTAGATTCTGTACCTCTGCTCAAAACATATATATTGTGTTCGTGGTTTTGATTAGCCAATTGAGACAGTCATGTTTTTAGACGATCAGCGATGATAAAGGATGGAGATCATATTCATTGAATTGAATTCGAATCCTGTGTTCTAAAAATGATAATAAATCTGCTAGAAGGGCTGTCTTGGCATAGATTCGCCCAAAAAAAAAATGAAGAGATAAGATGATCGTACAATTAATCATAAAAACTAAGTTATTTAACACTTAAAAATTGTTTGCATGAAAATAAAAGTTAGTCATTTATGTGAATGATATCATGGAAATAATTACAGTGTATAATTGATATTCAAATACTTTCATAATAATTATAAAAATATTATGACTAATCTTCTATATAAATATCTGAATTCATTCATGCAAATCGAAACGTATGCTATTACTAATTTATAACTATGTGGTGTGTGTGTGTAGGCAATATGTCATCTTTTTCTTCTCACATATAAAAACTATCACATTTTATAGGTTTTTTTTCTCTACCAGTAAACACAATATCCATCCTTCTACATACGAAACGCATAAATGGGTAACCGAGGAAGTGGTCGTCGTCCACAACCGTATCCAGTTTCTCCAGTTATTATTGCGAACTCTCCTGGCCCAGTTTATCCTTCTGGTGGCCATCATCGAAACTGTCGTGGATATCCAAGATACCATCCTGGTCAATACCCTGGATATTGACCAAGACAACCTTACTATTAATGACCATTCATTTAAATAATAGGACAACTAAACTGTATACCTGAACATTTCGTCCTATATATATTTAGTGTAACTAAAATGTATGAAGGAAATAGCATCGTATTATTTTCTTCATTTTTTTTAAAACAAATACTATTAATATCAATTTTTGTTAAACATGAATAATCTCTCGAATAAAAACAATCACATCAGTCATATCTTACACTAAGAAGAGAAATACTCGAGATGTGCAGTTCTATCTTGATTCATTGATACATCATTCGATAGAATATTTTGAGATAAGAAAAAACTTAAAAGCTTTCGAGTCTACAACGTACTGACGAAGAGTTATGACTGTTTTTACTGAAATTTTTACTGAGAGTCAGACATTCCCAAAAAGCAAAATGAAAAATTTTAACTTGAAATTTTGTCTATAGATAGACTTAATAGTTATGAGATATTCCCGAAAGTTTCAACGAGAACGAACGTGTCTTTCTCGAGATATTTAATTTAAAACAAAACAGCCGTTTACATTAGGAGAACATAAAGATCTATTCTACTTGGAAATTAATTATCTCGAGAAAGACATGTTCGTTTTTGTTGAGACTTCTAGGAATACTCAATAACTATCACATCTATCTGTCGACAAAATTTCAGGTTAAAACTCTTCATTTTGACGTTTTCATAGTGCCTTTCTTCAAGTAAAAGTTCCAGAAAAACGATCTTAACTTCTCGCCACTACGCCATGAACTCAAATCCTTTGAGACTTTTTCTTATCTCAATATACTCTATTGGATGGTGCATGAATGAGTCAAAATAGCAGTGCACTAGGCATTTGCAAGGTAGGACTAGAACTAAAGTTTTGATTTTTACCAGGATCGGAAGTAGGGCCCATATCGTTGCGATATGGTGCCAGTACATTATTTCTATCAAGAATTAAACTACACATTGTTATCTTTATTATTCTATTTTGATTAGAAATAACTAAATTGATTCTTTTTATTTACGAAAAAAAAAATGTCTTCAAACGATTCCGGCTTTGATTCTAAGAATCAAGATTTTCCGATACCTAGCAATAAGAAAAACCTGAATGGGACAATAAAAGTTTTCTCTATCCTTTGTTTTGATCTATGCATATAAAGGAATCCTAGTACTATCGGTGAGTTTAAATCATTCATTCGGCTTCTATATAATTATTTGAAGAATATAATACATGTTACAGAAATAATTACTTCGTTTTAGAAACGAAACAGGATCTAAGGAATCGAAGTTACAGCCAACACAAAACTTTAATCAGGACCGAGACTGGGAACAAAAAGAAGTGATTTTGCAAGTCCCTGATATGAATGACGTTCGAAATTTTTGCTTTTTCTCCCTCATGCGAAAAACATATTTTTTCTTTTGATAAAATCAATGAGAAATTCGAGAATAGAAGAAAAAAAAAGGGTAAAATATTCTAATATAATAGAAGAAATTATCCAGGTCGATCAAAACGGATACCATTTTGCGATCCGTTTTTTCGTCAGTAAACGGCAATATTATGACAGTAAACTAACCGTATTTCCTCGTAATCCTGGACATAGTAATACGGCACTGTATACGGTCGCATATGTGCTATCATCTCACTACAACACGGCCATATTTTTGCATGAAGTATTATGATGGTATACAGTCTGTTTACATATTCAGGTCAAACAAGCACGGTCGTTTACAGACGTATACGCACACAGTATTTGTCGACCTGAGTATATTTTCTATTTCCATTTTAGAAACAAAATTTTTTATTTTATTCACCAAATTATGAAACAACTTGTTTCTTGTAAATAATAGATATTCTGTAAATTTTATTTCTAATTCATATACCTGTCTGTCATTGTGAATACTGTTTTAAACAAAAAAATAAAATAAAACAAAATAAAATAACAAATTACTAGTGACATCTAAAATAAATCAAATTCTATTGGAGAATATTTTAATGAACTGTTTATCAAGTAAATGATAAAATAAACAAAAAAAAACAGTAAATAGTAGAATCAAACATTGTCGAGTAGAACAAAAGAGAACAATCAATTAATCCAAACTATTATCTTATTCTTCATATTACTCGATTTCAAATCTAATCATTTTGACTTGGTTTTTTTTTCTCTGATTCATTTATCAAAGTAAAACTTATGTCGTTCGATGATCCATTTAATACTAATAATGTAGTTACTGATGGTAATGTAACAAATAATTTTTATAATTTCAATGATGAAGATCCAGCTGCTGAATTTCTTCAACGAGAAAAACAAGAATTAGGTGATATAACAGGTAATGATGATATGAATTCATTTGACAGTCCATTTAATACAAATGCTAATCATTTAACAAACGGTATCTATCAGAAATTTTTCTTCGTTTTTTTTTGACTATCATCATAATTAATTAAATTTCGTTTTTCTAGGTGAACATTCATCAAGTATAAATATAGGTAGTCATAATTCAGAAATGTCATCAGATACAAATGTATCACAATATGAAGCATTATCACAATTGAATGAACCGGAAAAAATTCAAAAATGGAAAGAAGAATTTTCTACACGTATTAATAAAAAAGATGTTGAAGAAGAAACAAAATGTAAAGAAATGCGTGAACAAGCCAAAAAAGAATTAGATGATTTTTATAAACAACGTATTGAACAAATGGAACGTATTAAAGGACAAAATCGTTTAAATAATCGTACATTAGAAGATGATATATTTAATAATGATGATAATTCATTAAAAACATCAAATGGAAAATTTAATGATTGGGATAAAATAACAAGTTTATGTGAATTTAATCCAAAAAATAATCGTTCACAAAAAGATTTAACACGTTATAGAAGTATTTTACTTCAATTAAAACAACAACAACAACAACAACAAACAAGTGGAAAATAAATTTTCATATGAAATTATTCCAATTCAAATAAATTACAAATGATATTTGACTTTTAATTTCATTTCCTTTATTTATCTATATCTAAATATAAATATAGTTGTGGCTTATGCATGTGTCATAGTCGTTGTCTGTGTTTGATAGTACTTTTTTTCATTCCATAATAAGAAAAAAAAATTAAACCGGACACGTTGGATCTGATTTATTTATTGCCTCAGATTTTCTCTACTTCTTCTCAATGTGCACTCGCATATAAATTTTTTTTTTTGTATGATCTTTTTTTTTCTCACAATTTTAGTTGCTCCTTGATTTTTCTCTGTTGTTCGTTATTTTTGTTTGTTGTTATATTGCCTATTCTAACCAAAAATTCGATGTGTTTAAAAGTTTTCTTTATCTCTTCCCCGCAATATATTAAGAATTATTTATTCAATCTTTCAGATATTTGATCATAATGAGTGTCACTAATCTAGTTCGATATTGTTCGTTGACATCAAAATTGAGTTATTTTACAACAAGATCTTTATTATCTATAGAATCTATTAACTGTATGTCAAAAAAAAACATATAACAAAGTATGTTTTATCAATACAAAAAATTATATTTCATTATATATAGGTGATGCTCGACGATATGCTGGTCATGCTCATTGGCAAAATATTGCAAAGACAAAAGCTGCTAATGATCAAATCAAAGGACGTGTTATAGGAAAATTATCTAGTAAAATTGTTACAGCTGTTCGACGTATGTATTGAAATCTTAGAATATCTGATGAAGTTTAAAGAAAAAAAGCGAATGAATTTTTAATACGACATGAGAAAAGTTTCTTATTAAGAATAAAGAAAAAATATATATCATCGATAAACTACATCTTTCCATATCGAGTGTAATTCATATGTTGCGAAAAAAATTAATCTTAGATTTTTGACCTAATAAAATGTACATTCAGACTACAGTATAACCTCTCCGATCTGAATACCTTCGGGACCAGTAAAAAGCGTTCATAATAAGAAGTTGTCCATAAAGGAGAGGTCTATTTTCAGCAAAAATCGATTTTTGGAACCGGCTAGAAGCGTTCATAATAGCGAGGTATTCATTAAGGAGGAGTGTTCACATATAGAGGTTTTACTTTATTTTTATTTTAGAAAATGGTAATGTTACAGATCCACAATATAATGCTGTATTACGTGCAACACTTGAAGAATGTCGTAGAAATAATATGCCTAAAGAAACAATTGATCGAGCTATTAAACGAGCTGTAAGATTTCGGTTTTCTTTCAAATTGAATTGATTAATTAGAAAAATAAATAAATAAATTTTTATTTGTAGGTTGCTCAAAAAGATAATTCAAAACAAACTCTCTTTGAGTTTATTGGCCCTGGTCGAGCACTTTGTCTTATTGAAGTTATGACTGATAATCCAAAACGTACTTTCAATTATCTTAATAAAAATGCAGCTAAAATTGGGTAATCTTGTTTTTTTTGATTAAATAATTACATACATAAACTATGATCATTTTATTAAAAGTATTCCAGAAATAGCTAAAAGCGGACAAATTGCTGAATATTTTGATCAACGTGGTTATGCATGTATTGAAAAATCAAATATAACTGAAGAAAAAGCAACCGAATTAGCAATTGAAATTAATGCTGAAGAAGTTGTTGAAGCAATTGATGATGACGGTGAACGAACAGTGTGGAAAGTAAGTTTTATCTTTTTATTTTTTGATTTACAAATATCAAAATTTTTTATTACAAAAAAAAAAAATTTTAGTTTTTTGGTCCACCATTATTTTACGGTCAAATGAAAGTTAATTTAACTCAACGTGGTTATAATGTAACATCTGATGGTTCAGAATTTATTCCAAAAGTGACTGTACCATTAAATGAACGCGATAAAGCATTATTAAAACAAATTATAACTGTGTTCGAAGATCTAGATCAAGTTGAAGGCGTTCATACTAATGCCGTATAAAATGGATTTATTAAATAAAATTGCTTGTTTTTGAGGAAAAAGAAAATATTATTGAATACAAATAATTATTCTTAATTTATACATGAAAAACCCAAAGGACTCTGCCAGATTTCGTGACTTGTCTTCAATCAGGATACCGTATATGCAATTTTCTAGAGCAATTTGTGGCATATCGGCTGGCATATAAGAAATCAAGTTTTCATGTGCTAAAAGTTCATATACTTGTTAAAACCCTTGAGGAACGTATATTGTACTCAATGACATTTTGATCTTTAAGATAAATTTATGCAAAGTTTGTTTTTAAACTCATTTCGATATAGTTATAGATGCTCTTCAATTTTCTATAATCAATAGTTTTCGTCATTAATTTCTTCATACTTAAAAATAGTGCCTTTTCTTAGATCTAGGTCATTTCTTGACTATATGATATTCCAGTGTGTTTACCTCTGACCTACAGAACAAGTGAGTATCAACGTGAAACTTTCTCAAACACTGTATACTATCGAGCTTTATATGTTTCACAGATAACATCTTTTGGAACAGCAGAGGCACATTGTCAACTTGAAAGTTTGTCCCTTAGAATAGTTTATTTTTCTATAGGAAGGGGTGGCTATATTAACCTTATTTTAGCAATATTCGATGCTCCTATTAAACATTTTTATGTATCAATTATCAGCACAGCATCCTTGATGAGCTGATATAAATAACTCCTTTAGAAATGGAAAATGTTTTTTGAACTCCGGATCTCCGGAGGAGATACGATGATATGAAAAAATTTATTTTTGAAATGAACGTAAGATATTTATAGATTCTTCTAGAGAGTTTCATGCATAGATCAAACTCGCATACTCTAAATAAAAATTTGAAAAAAGAAATGCTAATAATAATAGACCTCCTTCTAGCAACCATATTCCCGTACAGCTTCCTTCAGAAGTCCGACAGCTTTAAAATCTTTTTCCATTTATAAAGGAGTTATTCATATCAGCACATCAGGGATGTTGTGCTAATTATTGGTACATAAAAATGTTTAATAAGATCATCAAGTATTGTTAAAATAAGGTCAATGTGCCGACTCCTGTATATAGTAAAATAGACTATTCTAAAGAACAATCTTGCAAGTTGACAATAAGTCTCTACTGTTCCAAAAGATGTTATCTGTGAAACATATAAAGCTCGATCGTGTACAATGTTTAAGAAAGTTCCACGTTGGTACTCAGTTGTTCTGTAGGTTAGAGGTGAACATACTGGAATATCATATAGTCAAGAAATGGCCTAGATCTAAGAAAAAGGAGCATTTTTAAATATGAAGAAATTAATGATGAAAACTATTGATTATAGAAAATTGAAGAAAGCCTACAACTCTATAGAAATGAGTTTAGAAACAAAACTTGCATAAGTTTATCTTATAGAACAGAATGTATATGAGTACAATATATACTTCTCAAGGATTATAACTAGTATGTGTGTACCCTCAGTACATGAAAATTTGAGAAAAACTTGATTTCTTATGTACCATTCGATGTGTCACAAATTGCTGTATAAGACCGCACATATGGTTTCCTGGTCCAAAATAAGTCACGAAGTCTCATAAAGTTCTTTATTAATTTTTGATAATTGTTATTTTAAAAAATTTTGCTCGAAAATAGATATTCTTAAGAAAATCGTATACCAATTAGAATATTTGCTTTTTTTTTACTTAATAAGTTAAACGTACTGCAAGAATAAATTTTTGTTTTTTTATTTTTACAATTGAAAAAAAAGAATGCACTTTACAAATGGTGTTGTGTGGGAGGACAGATCATCGGATGGCTATTACCGTCAAATAACGAGTAGTGCAAATTTAATTGAATAATACCATGTTCCTTTGTGGATAATTATGATACATTTTCAGAAAGTCATTCGATAAAGAATTTTTTGTTCTACAAAAACTATTTTATTTGTTTTTCAAATAAACTTTTCTTGTTGGAGCAAAATTTAAAATATGAACACGTGTTCAATCATCTAACTGCGATTTACTCACAAAGATCAATCTAAAAAGTAATGGAGTTAGCATCAATAAATAGAGAATTTTGTGCTCTTCTCTGCTACAGCCATTTCAAAACTCGTAACGCTATCATTCATGAAGAAAAAAGCTTAGAACTAAAACTTACTGATATTTTTTCTACGCCTGTCTGAGGAAACATGTTTTCCAAAGCGGGACTTAGTATATGAAACAATCATTCTCTTGTGCTGTTAGATGTAGAATTTAATTCTGAATAAAATGTTGTAACTGCTCAGCTGAAGAGTATAAATGACTAGATTGTGTCGAAATATAAACCATCACGTAGTTCTGTTAGATAAAACTTTAAAAAAAAAATTTTCTTTAAAAAAGAAAAATTTATTTGAAAAATAAGCGGAACAGTTTTGTAGAGTAAAAATACAAAATGATACTATCTCGTTTAAGCGGTACCATTCGTTAGATTCTTATCGATTTAGTCTACATTACTCATGAATGAGAAAATTTCTAAAAGATATTATATCTTTAAAAACGAAATAGACAAAAACAAAAGAATGTCTTTATATAAAACTTAGAATGTTCGATTGAGAATAAACAATAATTTATTATAATTTTCGTATTTTCGCCAATAAAAACTGATTGTATATAGTTTTATTAAATTGATATTTCAAACAAAAATTACATTCTGAAAAAAAAAACGATATCGATCTCTTTTGTTTTTCTTAGCTTGACTAAAATTTTATATTTGATCTTATTCTGAATTTTGATAGTTTATTTAATTAGCAAAATATTATGTATAAATATATATGTACATTTATGTATGAGCAAATGAACGATGATGATTGTTTTCTGTTCCTTCATTAGATGATGATGTTATTGAAATTTCTGCAAGTTCAGCAATACAATGTTGTTCATCATCAAGTTGACATTTAGGATTAATACGATTATTTCGTACTAATGAATATATATTTGATGAACATTTATTATTTGATTTTATATTTGAATTTATTGTATCATTGATACTGTTTGTATTTGAGCGACTTCTTGGTTTTTGATCAATGTAATCAGATATTGTCTTACGAAATAAAGCTATAATATTTTCTGGTGTTGATAGTTTTGTTTGAGCACGTATATTACGTCGAAATTGAGTGATAATTAATGTGCAATCTTCGGCTAGTACATTAAGTATTAATTCACATAATTCCATTTTAATTATATCAGATAAATGATACAACTCATTTGTCGATTGTAATAAATTATTACTTGGTGATAACCATGAATAATCTACCGATGAATGTCGTTGGGATGACGTGGCACCAGTGGATAAATGATGTGTGGATAAAAGTGAACCATTAACTGAACTACTTAACGTATCAGAATCTCGTTTATTTTGTGATGATCCTAATGTTAAAGAATTTCGACATTGACTTTCCAATTCTTCTAATAAAGTTTCCGCTATAGAATTTCCTTCCATATATGCATAACTAGCCGTTTGTACATCATTTGTAGTTGAATAACGACGAAATAAATTACTAAATGCCATTAAAAAAGAAGTTTTGATAATCTTCTAAAAAATTCACAAACAGAAAAAAAAACAATTTTTCAGGTCATAAAATATTTCTTCTATGCTTTATTATATTTTTTGTTTGTTATTGCAACAAGTCATAGAATACTGAATTATAATTTATAGTCAAAGAAAAAATTAAAAACAAAAAAAGAGTCATGGAGAGAAATTGTGGATGTAATAAGATGACATGAACAAGCATGAATGAACTATCTTCTTTTTTTCTTCTTCATAAGATTTCTATGGCAATCTTTTTTTTTCTGCTTTCAATTCTATGTAATAAGACTAAACTCTATATGATGACAAAGCAGAAAAGATTATGACGCTGACGACAAAAACATTTTGAAAAGAAAAAAAAAAGGAAGAGATTGCGAGAGCACCACTTCTTACAAATGTTAAAAAAGAAATTCTATAAAGAAAAAAAGAAAACAAATTTATTTAGAATAACTCGATGCTATCATGAGAAGATTATATTATGACATATATTTTATTTGTTTTTCTTTTCTTTTATCTTATTCTTTCCAAATGAAACTATTTCTAAAATAAAAACTATATGAATATGATATTTCTCTATACAACTGAAGTCTTTCAGTTCATTTTTTACGTTTTCTTTGTCGTCAACAACTAGATTGTCATTTAAAAGATCATCCGGTTCTTTTTTTTTCTTCTATCTTTCATGAAAAGAATATGCCTATTTTTATGACTTCTTTCTTGGTTTCTTTGAGTTATTAGAAAACTTACTCATGTCAATCAGGTTCTAAAATCATCGTATTTTTCTTTTCCTAAAATATGTCATTAATGAACATAAGATCAAATGAAATAATTAGAAACACCTGCATTCTTTTAAAAATTAAAATTTAGAAGAAAAAAAAATTATCAGAAGGTTTTCTTTTCGTGTAAAATTATCCACTAAACAACTTGCTACAAGAGAATATCTCGTTTAAAAGAACGATACGCCGGATATAATAGAAGATTTCGGTAACTAATTGATTTCTTCAATATTGTAAATTTGAACAGTATATTTATATCAAAATTTGACTATTTTTCAGAGTTTTTCAGCCGACGAGGCAAGTCTTCCAACTGATTAATTGTTTTTGAATTTGGACAATGTTCATTTGATGAGTAATAGAAAAGTCTAGAATGGTTTGACTTTCCAAGCCTTCGTTCTTGAAATATCAAAATTTTATTGGATTTTTCGACAAAAAGCGGTGATGACCCTCAAATCATGTGCAAGCTTCGACTTCAAACTTTGCACAAACAAAGTCCTTAATGATATTAATTGATTATTCAACCAGTATTTCCTTTCTGGAGAAGTATATATATAAACAAATTTTACACTTGAGAGAGTTTCGTAAATTAAATATCTCAGGATAGGAGATACTAGAAAAGCTACAACTTGTATAATCAACTTATCTCATTAAAAACTTTGTTCGTGCAATGTTTGAAATCGAAACTTACACGTAATCTGAGGGTAACTACAGCTTTTTATTGACAGATCTAGTAAAATTTCTATATCTCGAGAACGAAGACCCCTAAGACTAAACCATTCTAGGTTTTTTTACTATTCTCTAGCACTCATCAAATGAACATAGTCTCGTTCAAAAAGTGATTTGACATCTGGAGAGGTTTCTTCGTGAGATACTACATTTTCACGAGATTTTTCAGTACGATGTCGTGGTCCTCTTAGATTTATCGAAAAGACTGGTTTTTAAAATTTGACTTTGGAATTTTGCATAGAGATAAGTCTTACATGCGATATTTTATTGTGAAAATTTTAGGTCTTCTGATTGGCTACTATTCTGAAATAAGAACATCGAAATCAAAACTTTCACAATAAACTATTCAATTTAGAACCTATCCCTACGCAAAGTTCCTAGATAAAATTTGAACATCACTTTATCTGGTGTTCCAGAAGGGGATCACGATTGTGACTCTAACGAATGCCGTATTTCAGCGGCCATGAGTCAACAGCATAAATGCTTCTCAAGATATTCATAACTCATTAGGGTCAACATAGTGCACATTGTCCTGAATCAAAAGCAGTTAATCATTTGGAATACTTCCTTCGTGAAAGCTTTAAAAGATTGAAGTTGAAATTACTTTTAGGTTTTTAAAATTCTATAAAAAAAACTCTTCCAAAGTTGCTTTAATTTTCTTGAAAATCTTTTTTATTAAAACACAATAGAAAACCTTGTCTCTTAAAATTTTTGTACGTTTTTTTTTTACTGAAAATAAGAATCTATTGACTCGAACTCTCATTAATTTATATTTGTTTTTATAATAAATGTATGTAGATCAGATAGTAGAAATATTTCAGTCGAAATCTTTTTTCTATACCCTATTTCAATTCGCTGATTACTGCATTGAAGATTAGTACTATATAATGTAAGATGGGAGGATTTTTATTCGGTTCGTTAAATAAATTTTGCTTATCTGACAAAGACATAGCTTTTACTTTCTATTTACACAGTAGTCTTCTAGGACTATTTTTTGAATCAATTAGTTCGAGCAACAGCAAGACACCGGGGGAAGGACACTTTTTTGCAAATATTATTTTCAATGAAAGAGTTGATTTTAAGATATAAATTAAGCGAGTATTTGCTTCATTTAATGTATGCATTATTCTAGAAATAAACAAATGATGTCTTTGCAATAATAAAAAGGATTCGCATTAACTTAAAAAAATGTTTTCAAAATAGAACCGTAAGCTGAATTTTTACCTTTTATTATTATAGAATTTTTTTTGCATTGTCCATTCATTATTTCTTGCTGTTTTTCTAATTCTAGTCAAATTATACAAAGTAGCAAGTAATCCATGGATTTACCTGTAAAGAAGTTCTGTCTGATCTAAATTTAGCATGAAGCACAATGCATCCTATGAGATTAATGCATTGTTCGATAAATTCACATAAAAAAAATGAAGATTCTTAGTTTCAAAAAAACAAATAATTCTTGTTTTTATTAAAACCAATATCTTAATTGGACGTTTGATTTAGAGACCTCTGCAGGATTTGGTGAGCTATGTTGAACCAGAATACCATATGTGTGCTTTTGTAGAGCAATCTTCAACACATCGAATGGTATACAAGAAACACTATCGAGCTTTATATATCTTACAGATAGTATCTTTCGGAACAGCAGAGACTCATTATTAACTTGCAAGATTGTTTCCTAGAATAATCTATGCTTCTATATGAAGGAATCGGTATATTGACGATATTTTAACAACATTCAACGGTCTTATGAAACATTTTTTATACACTAATAATCAGTGCAGTATTCCTGATCAACTGATATAAATAGCTCCTTTATAAATGGACAATTTTTTGTGTCCTTTGAATCTCTGGAGAAAGTTATGGGTACATGAAAAAATTTATTTTTGAAATGAACATAAGACATTTATAGATTCTTCTAGAGATTTTTATGCATAAATCAAACTTGAATATTCTGAGGAAAAATTTGAAAAAATAATAATAATAACAGACCGTCTTCCAGCAACGATATTCCCTTACCTTCCTTAAGGCATCCGGAGTGCAAAAAACGTTTTTCCATATGTAAAGGAACTATTTATATCAGTTCATCAAGGATGCTGTCCTAATTATTGGTATATAAAAATGATTAATAGGATCATCGAATATTGTTAAAAAACCGTCAATATACCGGCCCTTTCATATAGTAAAATAGACTATTCTAACGAGGGAAGGTCACCAACTGTTCAATCGCTTTTGAGTCGGAACTATGTGCATCATGTAGGTCCTAATGAGCTATGAATACCCTGAAAAGAGTTCGGGCGGATAGCTTATTACTGTCAAGATACTGCATTTTTACGATATTTTTAAGCAAAATGCCGTGGTCCTCCTCAGGAACACCAGCAAAACTGAGTTTTGAATTTCGACTTGAAATTTGGCACAGAAACAGATCTCAGTGGGAGTAGCTTATTGTGAAAGTTTCAGATCTTTTGGTTGCTCCCATTCGTCAATAAGAATATTGGAACCCGTCGGGGGTATACGAGCAGTGTAGAAACACCTTTTTTTAGCTGTATCTTAGGATAGAAACAACCAAAAGACCTGAAACTTTCACAATAAACTACTCTCACTGAGGCCTGTTTCTGTGCAAGGTTTCAAGTCAAAACTCGAAGCTCAGTTTTTCTGATTCCTGAGGGGGACCACAGCATTGTGCTTAATTAAAAATACCACAAAAATGCAGTATCTTGACAGTAATAAGCTATCCGCCCGAACTCTTTTCAGGGTATTCATAGCTCATTAGGACCTACATGATGCACATAGTTCCGACTCAAAAGCGATTGAACAGTTGGTGACCTTCCCTCGTAAGAGACAATCTTGCAAGTTGAAAATGAGTCTCGATTGTTCCGAAAAATATTATCTGTAAGATAGATAAAGCTCGATAACATACAGTTTTTGAGAAAGTTTCACATTAGTACTCACTTATTCTGTAGGTCAGAGGTGAACACACTAGAATATCATACAGTCAAGAAATGACTTAAATCTAAGAAAAGAAACCATTTTTAAGTATGAAGAAAGTAATGATGAAAACTATTCATTATAGAAAATTGAAGTGCACCTCTAACTATATCGAAATGAGTTAAAAAACAAAATTTGAATAAGTTTATCTTGAAGAGCAGAATGTATATGAGTATCATATATATTCTTCAAGGATTATAATCAGTATATGAACTTTCAGTACATGAAAATTTGAGGAAAACTTGTTTTCTTATGTATCATTCGATGCACCACATATATGGTATCGTGGTTCAAGATAAATCACCAAATCCATTAAGGTCCTTTATCCATGTAACAGACAAAGAAATGAAATTTTAATAAACCACTGAAATGAATAGTTTTAATGAGGTCGATATTTTCAGAAGATTTTCTAGTATTTTTCTATTTCTACTCCTAAATTCTTTGATCTTCAGCAATCTTTTATTAAAATTACTAATGACTCAATAGTTTTTGTGTAAGAACACCTACATTTATTTATTTTCGATTTAAAAGGTACATATATACACATATGCATTTATTTATAATAAAAAATTTTACAATAGATATTTTTCATTATCACAGTATTATCTTGTTTAAATAAAAAATAATGTGTCAAATATCAATATGTATTTATAGAGTATATTCCAAATAAGAGACATCTATTATAGGTGTTAACAGGAAATTGATCCCATCAACGTACATTTTATAGTAATCAAAATGTAATGATTATCTTTTCGTTGATCGAAATGTCAATAAAAAGAAAAATCTTATTTTCGAAAATAGACTAGGATCAACTTCGATAAAGAAAAACAAAACGAAAAAAAAACAAGAGAATTATTAAGCTATCAATCAAATCAATATTTGACTTAGCCTTATTTTTATGAACATAAAAAAAAAATCAATTTTATTTTCGGATGAATTATTTAATAATTTGAATTTTTTTTTCTCTTTCTTTCATTCTTTTTTTGTTATTTGTTTAAATAGCCATTATCATGATCAACAACTTGTACGAACTTTGATCATTAGCGACAGAAGTATATCAATCGGATTAGAAAATGTTTGCCAACAAGCTATTGAACATTCCATACCGAATTTTTCTTTGATAGGTTTTAAAATAGAAAACTTTCAATTGATTAAACAAGTAACTCTTGTACACAATACTTAATATACTTATAGAAGTAACAATCGAAATAAATATATTTTTTTGAAGAAAATAATTTTTAAAAAATAATATCAAAATGAAAAGAGGAGAAATGTTTCTTAGGAAAAAAAATTCATTTATCTTTTTTAATGTATTCTTTTATGAAATTTGACTATGATATTAATGCTATCAGATATATCGGAGATTAACTATCTTAGATGAAAAAGAAATATATGTATATATATATTTAAAAAAGAAAAGTGTGACCGATTTGCTCAGCATGTTCAAATTTGTTTCAAAAAAAATAAAAACTGTTCTTTTTTGTCCTATTGATTAATAGAGAATGAAATTTGATCCTTAATGACGCAAGTATATATACACACACACATTATACGCATGCATCAAGTAAGATAAACTCATAACGATGTTTGTATCGATCATCGACAGTTAAAGCTCAGTTCCATTCCAAGAATAACAAAACAAAACACTATGTGGGCTTTTTTTTTATTTCATCATTTTCTTCTTCTTTCGTTAGTTAAGATCCAATTTCAACTCATCATCATCACGCAAGTTCTTTTATTCATACACTTAACACGCAAAAGGTACATCTCATATTTCAAGTTCTTCTCTCTCTCTTTCCCTCTCTTGCTTATGCATACATAAACTACTTAATCTTAATATTGACATATCGTGCTTACTTATTTCTATATTATTAAACGGACGAAATATTTTGTTTTTTTTTTTGTTTATATCTGATCTTTTTATGAAAAGAAAAAGAAAAAGAAAATTAAAGTGAATGATAATCTCTTAAAATAGTTGTTGATCCTGAATCAATCATGTCTGTTGTTGATTTAATCGTATGATGATAATGATGTTGTTGTTGTTGAGGAAAACAATTTTGAAAATCAATATGAAAATGTTCATTTGTGTTAAGATTTGTTGTTAAACCTAATGGTGCTCGTGTTGTTGGTTCACTACTTGTTGATCCAAGATCATCTAATGAATTCTCACCATTATGTGAAGGACTTATATCAATCGTTTTCCTAAAATTAAACAAAAGAAAACATCATTTTATATATATATATATTCTACACCTACGTGAAATCTTTTCTTCTTATCAGCATGAAATATTATCAAAAGAAATATGCGTAACTCTGATCTTCTCAAAAAAGAAGAAGAAGAAGAAGAAGAGACATTGTTTGTTATTCTCTTCAATTAGCAAGTCTTTTCTTTTCTCTCATCAATATAAAAAAAATAATCAATGTCAATCAAACATAACCAAGAAAAAGAAAAAAGAAAAAAAAAAAGAAAACTTTTGTTTATATACACATCTGTTATTCATTAAAAAGAAAACACAACAACTTGCCTATCATTTGTTTCTGATGCTCTATCACGTTGTCGTCGATTTTTAAACCAATTTGATACTTGTGTTGTTGTTAAACTAGTTGTTTCAGCTAATTCACGTTTTTCTCTTGGTGATGGATAAGGATTATGTAGATACCAATCACGTAATACATTACGTGATTTTTCTTTAAAACAATAACTTGTTTCTTCACCATCCCATATTGTACGTGGTAAAGGAAATTTTCGTCGTACACGATATTTACCAACAGCACCTAATGGTCTACCACGTATTTTTTCAGCTTCATTATAATGTGCTTGTAACCATAATTGTTGTAATTGTGGATGACTACATGGTGCAAATTGATAACGTTCTAAAATATGATAAAGTTCACGATAATTTCCTCGACGAAATGCAACAACTGCTTTAGCTTTTACAACACTTTCATTATTATGAAAATGTTCAAATGTTGGTAATGTCCATAAAAAATCACCTTAAACAAAAATAAAAACGTATAAGTTTTTGTTTTTTTATTTTTATTTTTTGTTTTTGTCAAATAAGATTTACCGAGCCGTTGAATATCATTACTTTGTTGAAGTACTTCACACACACAAGCAACTTGTTCGGGAGTAAAAATACTACCTATTGTATTGCTTGTTGGTGATGTATTGATGTTAGTGAAACCAGCGGTCGTCGTTGTGGGTATCGGATTGCTTTCAAGCATTAGAAAAGAACTAAAAGAAAGAACACAAAAGAAAAAAATAGATAATCGGATCCACTCGGTTTCGTTTTTTTTTTATTTAATAGTAATAGACACCAATCGATAGAAGAAATGAATATGATAGAAAAAAAAAACGAAAGAATAAATGATTAACTCTTCTCTTCTCACGTATTCAATTTCAAATCAAAGGCAACAACGATAGATGAATTGGAGCACGAAGAAAAAAAAAAAGAAGATCGATTTTTCTATGTATATATATATAAATGATAGAAGAATCTATAGTATAGTACTACTCAATTAAATATATGTGTATCGTCTTCGATTTCTTTCATTGATACTCATCATGTTCGAAGGAAATAGGATCGAGTTTTTAATCGCATTACAACAACAACATACACATTCAGCTATGATGATCAGCCCTATTTCCCTTTCTCTCTCTCTCTCTCTTTCTCTATGTCTCTCTTTCTCTTTCGATCGACTTGATGGATTAAGTGGCAGACTGTGAGAGTGTGTCTGTATGTGTATACGAACGATACTCCCTCTCTCTCTCTCTCTTTTTCTCCCAGCGGTAACGTTGGTAGTTGTGCCGACAATAATTTTCTCCCTGCCTCTCTCACTCTCTGTCTTGATTTTTTTCCTTTTTTTCTTCGTTTATATGTTGTTATTGTTATTTAGTATAAGAAAAAAAAGATGATTTGCTAGAAATCATTTTTTCTTCTGTCTCTCTTTTCCTCTCTTTCTGACGACAAATTTATAGTGAATGTGTTGAACGATAGGCGACATTAATATATGATGACAAATGTGAACCAATCAGTATTGAGATAGCAAAAAAAAGAAAAGAGAAAAAGAAGAAAAAAATTTCCTTTTTTTTTTGTTCTTGTCATGGAACAAGTGGATCCATCGACTACGTATTATGGATATAATGGTAGTAACATCACCATCAATATTTCTTTCTTTTTCTTTCTGTCTTTTATTCCCCTTGATATCTATATGTATGCACCGATCATCATATATATACAATATATATACTATCGTCGTAGAAAGAAGATAATTGACAGTAAACAGCTGTGCTCTATGTATGTACACATAGATATATATAAAGAGCAGATTCTTGTCTATCATCATCAAGAGTCAGTGCTATAGTTAGTTCATGATGGCATCGTTTTCTGAAAAGAACAGTGCATACACACACACACACATACACACATATACACATAAACATATAACAACGACATTCTCTCCCTCTCGCTTGCTCGTTTTTTTTTCTCATACACACCGACCCACACATATCTGCACACATTTTGAAAAGAGGCATGACTCTTCTCAAATTTCAAAAAAGCAAATTTGCTTTCTTGTTCTATCCGCGACAGCTGTTGGACAAATGGCAAAATTAGAGATGCTTGTCGTTGTCATATATGTGCATTCTCATTCGATCAAGATGCGACAAGAACATTAAATATATACTATATCAAATAAAAGAATGATGATAATGTGTGACACATGCCCGATTGGTGACAAGTTTTTCGTTTCTTTTCTTTTTTTTTTTTTTTTTTTTTTATAAAGAAATAAATAAATCTTTTATGATTGGTTGAAATTGAACTGAAAATATAAAATATTGGAAATTTTCATTTATTCAATTTATATAAATAAAATAAAATCAACTATAGAATTTATGATTTGCTCTAGAGAAATACCGTTTAATGTTGACATTCAAAGATAAGTTTTGTATTTAATTGATATTTACAAAAATGATTTTAGTTCTACGATTGATACATGACCTTTTTTTAAAGTTATATTATAATTTATTTGATATTTAATTAAAAAATAAAACAACAATTAACTATATTAACATATATTCTATGAAATATTTGAATAAATAAAATATTCAGTACAAAAATATTCAGTACAAAAATATTACCAAAACTCTCGATAGTTTTTCGACAATAGCTCGAAATTTTTGCAGATACAATGCAAAAAGTGGAAATATGAAATTTTTATATATCATACATTTGAATTGTATATGTTGAAATGATGACTTGATTTTTGAGAATTAGCTTTTGAAAAATATTTTTAAATGAAAAAAAAGATCTTCAATGTAGGTGTCATGTTGATGTGTTAAATAGTTGTTTTGGCTATAAGATTTAAGGTTATGTGATGTTTCAATCATACAATAGCAATTCAATCTTCCTGTCACTGTTGTCTACATATAACTACTGAATAGAAGATGACAAGACAGATAACATAGATTACACAACTATGAACTTTATTTTGACGATTCAATCTTCTATTTCTGGTAGCAGATTTAGTGGGAGCCGATTGCCCTTTCTTCTGAAAGTTTTCTATTTTTTCTTAGCAGAAAAAGCTTTCAAACATTTTTTTTTTACCATGATCGCCTCACTTTTTGATGCAGTACTCCGATTTACCAAAATCTGAGATCCATCACTATACATTTTCGACTATTGATGTATTATAATACTTTTTCAATTTGAATACTATATATTTTATCAGTTGATTTTATTTGTAGTTTTTCTTTTTTAGTAAAAAAAATTATAAAAATGACTAAAAAATTAAATTATGCTAACAATTTCCAAATCACAAATGAACAAAAATAACAATCAATTAAACTCTCTATTCGAGATACACACAGGTATAACAGGGTGAAATAAAAAAGAATTTTTGCAAAACAAAATGAATACTAAAAAAAAACAATAACTTTTGCTCGATCACTGCCAACTAAATCCTTTTCCTGATGTCATTCAATTAACTAGAGTCACCATATCGTGAAACTTACATAACATCAAGCATTGTTAAATCAATTTGATCATTACGAACTGGCGAGTGAACGGCCATTTAGGAAAAAGGAGGATTTTCGGAAAATTGTTTTGAAGGATAGCTTTCTAAAAAGGAGGAAAAAAGGAGGATATTACTTTTGCTGTAGAAACAGTATTTTCGTATTGCAAATGCATTGAGGGATTTGAATGGAACGAAACAAGAACGTCATCTAGAGTTTCAAAGGCTGATAGTTCTCAACAGAAGTCGATACAAAAGAGTTCTGCACATCGAGGACACATGCATCCTAATCATATAGTCACATTGATAAGGACAAAACTCACTTTCGAAATGAACGATATTCACTTGTTGCAACCCTTTTATTCGATAGATATACGGGTATAAAAATCGAGTTCATGTAATGATCTTGAATTTTTTTTTACAATTAATCTATCAAGAAATCTAGTCCAGCTTCACGGTTTCCAAATAAATGCTTACTTCAGATTTTGAATACATGTAAAAAAAAAAAAGTATTTTTTTCATAATATCTGATGCAAACTTTTCAATCAGAAAGAGATGTCGTAAAATAATTAGTGATGCTTTATTAAAAAATTAAACTACAACTTCTTTCCAATTGTTACTCGGAACAAATGTAAAATAGAAAATTAAACTATGGTTTTATGAAAAGACGCAACTGCCTCGTGTAAATAGTACTATCTCATTAAAGCCGATTGATGCGTTTTATCAACAAAATGTTGAAATCTGTTAGATTATATAATAGGAAATCTGTCGCAGAATTTTATGAAATGTCGAAGAAAATTTTACAAAAAGACTAGAAAATTTAAATAACATTTGAATTGTAGAAGCCATTTTTCGTGTTATCGAACGGAATATTGCAGAAACATGTGCGTATATTTTTGTAAGCACGATTATTACTGCTATAAATATATATTAGAAATGTTTATGTTTGATACTATTCGTTCCTCACAATAAATGCTGTTATTTTCGGCTACTATTGATGGAACATCACTTCTCTCTCTATTAATCTCTTTCGTGAAACATTTCTTTGTCAATAACTATATCAAAGCATACCATAGTATCACATTCATCTATTGAAAGAAATATTTGCTTAAGGCAAAGTACAATCATATGAAACACCATAATATACACAAGATTCTTATGTAATGAAAAGACGAGAATGAGATTTGCAAAAAAAAACATTTTCTAGTAAACTATTTTGCTTGCTCAAAGCACATTTCGTATTCTACCTGGAGTAGCAACCGTAGAGACAGACAGCTGTATCAGACAATTCGCAAAATTGTACCAAAACCACCGTTCTAGCTGCTAAATTTCGTAGCAAAAAAGGAAAAGGAGGAGCATTCACAACCCAGACATATATACATACATACATATGTAAATATACGTAATCTTTTAAGTTTCTGCCAGTTATTGCGTGATGATAACATTTTGTATTATCGAAAATTTGAAATAAAGACTGATATTCATTAAAATTAAAGTATATTTTTTGTTGTAGTACTATTATCAATCATTTCAAATATCGTCTGAATCGTAGCATCGTAAAAACGCTTTGTTTAAAATATTGAAAATACTCATTCACAAGCTTAATTGATAAAAAGAGGGAAAAAGAGGATTCCGATGCCAAAAGGAGGAGAAGGAGGACATGTTTTGGGAAATAGGAGGAAAAGGAGGAGGTTTCACAGGCCAGATTATGAATCATAACGATTGAATCATCATTGGAAAAAAATGAAATTTTAAATAAAAAAAAATTTATGTGAAAGAAAACATATTTCTGAAATCTAAACTCTGATCAATTTATATGCTTTGTAGTTTTAAATCAAACATATTTTTCATCTTGAGATTCAGTCATTTGTAAATGATTTATTCTCACTCGGTAGACTAAATATATCTGCATTATGAGAATGACAATGTGTTAAGATCATAATTTTTATTTGTACAACCTAAAATTCTATTTTCACTTTGAAGATGTTCTATTTGATATGTTCTCGAGCACTATCATCTTTCTTGATTGAGCTGATCGTGTTGCAACTAAAATTTCGTACAAATTTTGAAAAATTAAAATAAAAATCTATTTAAAATATAAGATTTTCTAAACAATTAACTTTTCAAGTTTTGACAAAAGCAAAATCACCAATAATAACATGTTCTAAAACATATTGTCGATCTTTATAAACATGAATCTATATCAAAATCTT